CATTCACATTTAGAATACAGTAGTAATAATAACATTCTTTCTCTTTGTTTTTGCTCTTCTCACTGCTTAAAGAGAGAGAAAGAGAGAGACAGCCCTCCTCCCAACACCACCGCCATCACACACACAGACACAGACACAGATATATGTATATATGCTCTTCTTCTCTTTATTCAATCTTCCTGCCGTATTTATCAACACGGAAGAGTGTCTGCCCGAGTGAGCGCGGCTTTAACGCGGCATTACGCACATATGTGCCGTGCCGCCCACTCTTACGACATGCCGCCAACATGCGGGCCGCCGCCTGCGACCATTCACGCTCGCCGGGATGCCGCACAATCGATGAAGATGATGATGATGACTGTGAAGATGAAGAAGAAGACTTTGATGATGATTTAGCTGTTGGTGTTGTTGATGGAGATGATGGAGGCGTTTGAACATTTGGCGCGAGTGTGATGGAGACTTCCCGGTCTGTGGCCACAAGACTGGTGTAGTGATGCGCCACACCCGCCGACTCTGCGTTTCGCCGTACGGCATCACACATTTCTCTCATCTTTGCAAGTGCCGTATCGGGTGATTGGAACTCTTTAATCGATAATCGCACAGGATGACGACGGCGAAGATCCTGCACGATCTTTTGACTACGCCATCCCACAAAGTGTGCATCCACTACATCACGAAAGGTATGGTCAATGAGTTCACGCACACCTTGATCTTTTCCACGTCCAGAACCTCTTGAAGATGATTGTTGTTGTTGTTGTTCCTGTTGTTGACGTAGTGCCTCTAACTCTTCACTAACAAGACCTAATATACGTGGTGTTTCATTGCGAATACGGCAATACGCAATATCCCCGCGAGTTCCCATTTGTACGAGATTCATGGAACGTTCTTTTGCTTGTTGTAATGCCTCTGCCAGTTCACATGGACTAAGTGATATTTTCGTTTCTGTACCGGAATCTGGATCCTCTACGTGTGTGATTTGTACTTTTGGCTGTGTAATAAGTGTATCCATTGGGTGTTGTTGAAGATACACTCGTACCTTTTGTACGGCCTCTGCAGGGGCATTTTCTGGTAGTAATTCACGTATAATCACATCCAGTGTTTTCTTCGCTGTTTGTACGGCCGCTTCCTTTTGTACAGAGAGGGAAGCATCAAACACATAATCATCATCTCCAGGATTGTTATGATTCCCTTGAGTGCTAAAAAGGCGTCTTTGCTGTAGAGAAATACCTGCTGAAAAGGTCCATCTAGAGATCTGTGTAGGGGCAGAGCGGGATGTTAAGAGGCGTGCGTAGAGAGAGATATACGCATGACTGCCTATCCTGCATTTATTGTGTACTGCAGCGTTCACTAGACGACGGTATACCATTTTATTTTTATTTTGGTAAATAACTACGAAAATGGAGAGAAAATGGAAAAATAAAAAAAGAAAAAGAAAAATAATAAAATAATAATAATCAGGGGAATTTAAAAAGTAAAAGTAATCAAAGAGAACAAACAACAATAGACATATACACACACAGAGAGAAAAAAAAAAAAAAAAAAAAAAAATCAAATAACAAAAAAAAAAAAACATGTGAAATGAAGCAATTTTTCTTGACATGTGTATACACACAGACACACACACACACTCAAAACGGGAAATTACACAGCGACTTGTAGAAAGAAGAAAAACAGAAACGCAGACATATTCACATTGAATCATGTCTACATTTTTCAATAATAGTCACAACAACAACAGCAATAATAATAATAATAATAATAATAATAATAATAATAATAATAATAATAACAAACAAACAAATAAGAAGAAAAAAAACAAAAACAAAGCAGGCTGCTCCTGTTATTTCCAATTATCGTTGTTTCAACTTAAACGTCATACTCACACCGTAATGATCTGAGGGAAACAAGTAGGCAGGTGCCTCCTGATTGCCATTCTCATCATTTACACTTCGAGTACCGACGAGATGCGCCTCTACAGGCACAAGACGTCTACTGCGCAAAAACACTTTATCCGATCGTCCAAAAAACATTTCTTCCACTTTAAGTTTACAAAAGGTGTTGGTTTCATCCATAGTTTTACCAGCATCCCCTGGGTGTAGTAAAGGCCAACAATCCACATATTGTGATTCCGTTGGCATGTGAAACTCACTTGTAGGCCAATCGTTAAAATCCCCCATTGTGATAACATCTCCACTTAATGTTTTCATCATGTGATGACGTAAGGCTCCATCTTGTGAAGTTCGTGCAGTTTCATGTGATTTGGTGTATGGTGCTAATAAATGTGCAGCGGCAACATTAACAGAACCGTGTGGCATTTGAAGAGTAACAACTGGCATAAGTGAGACATGATTCGTCCACGCAGGCACATTTAAATAAGTGATATTTTGTATAGAAAGTCGACGACGATGAACTAACATGAGTACACCCCAAGGTGTAATCGCTGGACTTGCATAACCGCATGAAAAGAAGTAATTTTCTCGTACCCATGATTGTTTAGAAAGAAAATTCCAAAACACAGGTTCTACTTCTTGCATTCCTACAACATCTGCATCTTCTTGTTGAATTATTTTTGCGAGTATTGGATATCGTTTTGGGGAACACCAATCAATACCTGGCATACCTAATGGTGTAGGTTTACCACTATATCGATCAAACATAACATTCCATGTAAGTAATTTTAATGTGGATTGCTTAGAGGATAGATTTTGATCTGTAGTATTAGTCTTAGATATTTGAGATGAGGTTGATTTACTCTCTGAAGATTCATTATCTTTAATTTTATCTAAAGTTTCTATTTTTTTCGTGTCCTTCTTTGTATCATCCTCCGTCTTTATAGATCCTGTCAAATCCTCTGTATCTTTACCTCCTTTTGTGGTTGATGATGATGATGTTTCTTTTTGTTTATTATTATTATCATCATCACTAGATCTTTCTGCACCACATGGAAAGTCTTTAATGGGTTCCCATGAAGAAGTTGATGTTGAAAAGTATGATGGTCCATCTCTGGACATGTTTACTTCTAATGTAACTCCCTTTACAGCATTTAAGTGACGACGTATTTCCATTTCATGACTACGAACACCAATATCAACATACTCAAATCGCCATAATTGTGTCTTCTCATTTTGTAACCAACAATAAGAAGGGGATAAACATAAACACTTATGGGGTTTAAGAGGATTCGCATAGGATAAGACTTCACGAATCACACGATGTGCTCCTGTTGTATCGGATGAAGTAATCATTTTACCAACATCTGATTTTGGTGCTACCCCAACATAATGTTGAATTAATGTCTCTACAGAAGCAGGTAAGGATTGACATAAAATAGTATATTCTGCTGCCGTTAAGGGTTGAATAATTCCTGTTTGCATCTCCTTTGTTTTCGATTTTACTAATTCTACTTTACCTCCTTCTGCTAGTTCAAATGTTTCATTTCTTAATCCTTCTTCCTTCTCTCCCTTTTCTTTCTTTCCTTTTTCTTCTTTTTCTTCTTCTTTTATACATGTAGTGGAAGATGATTGCCTTACACGTGGAGGTGTTCGTCGTGCAATACGATGAGGTGAGGAACTACACAAAGCCGCGAGATGCGCCGCGAATGGAATAACACCGGCCACTGGAGATCCCACTTGTGTTGTTGGCATCGATGGAAGATAATTATATTCCGGGGCTTCTCCCAGACACAAGAGGGCGTGTGTTTGCAGAGCCTGTTCTAAATAGGCCTCTGAAGCCGCATCCACGCGGGGTGGAACTTCCTTTCGGGCGACTAATTGTATAATACGAGAGAGAAGTGGAATGTTTAGACGTAATGTATTTCCAGGATAATCTTCAAATAAGAATAAGCCTTCTTTTACTGTTCCGGAGTGAAGAGAGACACTTCCCTCTCTTCCTTTTCCTTTGCCTCCTCCTTCTGTGGTTTCCGTATTAGATGTGGTTTCCATAAAATTCTTTAGATAACGGTCGACCAGTTCACTAAATCCAAGAGATGGGATAGGATGCAATTCTGTAACAGAAGCTCCATTCGCAAGAATAAATAAAAAAAGAATATCTGTTCGCATTTTTGCAATCGTAACACTTTCACCTTCTTTTGCTCTTTTATCAAGATCTAACCATTCAAGAATATCTTGTAAACGCATTTGACGAAGATCGGCGTTATTTTGTACAACACTCATCACATTATAAAAAGGAGAAAGTGCCATCACATTTAAATATAACTCAGATGCCCCAATAAGACAAAGTGAATCGGTACTACCACTAAATGAATCACGAGAAGCCAAATCTAAAGCCCATGCAGACATCTTCTGTTCCACACATCCTTGTACACATGTACCTGAAAATACCACTTCAGATGGAAGAATTTGTCGATCCGGCATCATACGCACTAAACGTTCTTCTACCGCTTGCATTAATGGTGTACCGGGAAGTCGCATGAGACGACTTTCAATTTTACGTGTAACACTACTACCTCGTGTGTGTTCTGCTTTTAGTAAAGTCTCCGCACCGTCCATAGCGATGAGAAGCGATTTCTTACAACGTACCTTTTTGAGTAATTGTTGTAGAGACTGTGAGACATGACGGGCAACCTCCTTATGTCGTCGTTGTTCAGATGTGACGTTTTTGGCGAGTCGCAGTCCTGTTGCCACCAGTGCAGTAGCGTCTACACCAACGTAATCACATTCCACTTCTTTCTTTGTAATCAACAATTGAAAGCGATCACTAATCTTTGATTGGCGATATGTCGTTACAGCCAGGCGGTAAGGCGTTTTTGTGAGTGTCATGAATGTAGAAAATATATATATATATATATATATATATATATATATATATATGTATATATGTGATTACAGAGGCTAAGTATATAAGAAAAACAAAACAGTTCCTTTTGTTGTCCTTTCCTTTTTTTTTTCTTTCTTAACCCTTTGTTTGATTAGTATTCTTATTATTATTGTTTTTTTTTTTTATTATTATTTTTACTAATATTGCTCGTGTTGTTGTCTCTTCTACCCTTTATGTTTTTAAGGGAAATACAGCCAACACGGCAAGACAGAAACACACAAACACAAACACACCGCCCCTGTCACTTTCCACCCATAAGACCATAGAGGGAGAAAAAAAAAAAAAGAAAAGAGCAATAATGACAATAATAAAATGAATATCAAATATACATTCATACTCACAAGACATATTATCTTCCTTTTTTTTCTCTAAATTACATATAATAGTGAAACCAATAATAATAATAATAATAATAATAATAATAATAATAATAATAATAATAATAGTAATTTTTATAATAAGAGAGCCAATTGCTACACAACAAGATGAACAGGAAGAGATCGAGACGCAAACCAAATTTCTTGGATGTACAAATATCCCAACAGTGAAAAGAAAAATCCTCACATCAGCAGCAACAACAATAGTAGCCGCTTTTTCATTCTCTTCCACCTTTTCTCCTTTCCTCTCCATCATCAGTTCTTGTTTTATGTTGTTGTTGTTTCTTCCACATTCTCTGTGTATCTGTATATGTCTGAATATGATTCTTTTTTTTTTTCCTCTTCATTTTGCTCCCACTGTAGCATCTATTCTTTTTCTCCACTCTCCATCTCTGTTGAAGGAGGAGGAGGAGGAGGAGGAGGAGAAGCGAAAGGTAAATGGGCAGGATCTGTCGCCTCACCTGTTTCAGTATTCTTCTTCGTTGGACCACGTGTTCTTGATACCGCAGGAACATCATTAGCCTTCTTTAACAAGTCAAGTTTAGACCTTTCACTTGTATATAACTGCATAAACTTTACGTAGCGTTTCCCTGACACACTGGTGGCTAATTCTGTGATATCAAGTGGATGTCGTCCCTTTCCATCATCAGGTTTCTTATTATTACCCTGTTTACCTACGGCACTACTACTACTACCACTACCACCCGCGGCAGCAGTTGTTGTTGTAGTAGCATCCTCACCAACAACATTTCCAGCATCTGCCTCAAGTATATCGGCAAAGGGATCTTCATCTTCTTTTTTAGTCTTTTTCATCACAGATGTCTTCGCTACCGTCACTTGTGGAAGATGAAGCATAGAAGCAAAAGGCACATGAGCTGTCTCTTCTCCACGAATTACACGCTGAAGAACTTGTAAAGCTTTATTAGATTCCGGTGCCGCAAGTGGTGGTCTCCATAATGGAGGTGGAGGAGGTGGTGGTGGTGGTGGTGGTGGTAGTTGCTCTGATGATTCTGCCGCTGCCTTTGCATTTCTTTCCATGAGACGTACTATCAATGGCACATCATCTGGATCTGTAGACACTGCCGCCTCTGGTTTTTTTGCCTCTAACTTCAGCTGTCGTTTTTTAGTTTGGGAAGTGGCACTTGTAGACTGGCCCTCACCCTTGGAAATCTTTCGACGAGTCACCGTTTTACTAGCACCTTCCTCAGATGCAACAGTTGTGTTAGTGCCATCTTTTATCGTATCATCAACGCGTTCTCGTTTTCGTGAAACTCGTTGTTGAACTTTATCACCATCTTTTGAGTCTTTGGCATCTTTTCCTTGTCCTCGAGTTTTCTTTCCTGGTACCGTTGAGGCTTGGGGGGGAACTTCACCTCCAACAGAGTGTCGCTCACCTGTTAATGGACAAAAAACTGAGGTGAGACCACAATCGGGGCACCGATTTACTACCCCAATGGCTCTTCCAGCTGCCAAAACAACTAATGGCACATTATCCTCCATTACGGAGGTGTTGCTATTTTTCTTTTTTTTACCTTGTATTGTTTTATCAGTAGATTTTGTTGTACCCTCTGCAGTAGCTGGGTGATAAACTTCCTCAGATTTTTTCTTCCGACTAACTTTTTCAGGTTTTTCGGTTTTAGCAGGAACGGCTAATGAAGTCTGCTCCTCTGGTTTCTTTTTCCCTTTAGAAACACGACGATTATTTGCCGCCTTCTTACCGAAAATAGTCTTGGCTCCAGGAAGGTTTCGTAGTTCAGCTATTACGGAGTCAAACATTAACCCATACCACTTTTGGCCATATACCATCATTGAACCATTCTCATCACGGTTCTCTTTCACCAAATCCAATAATCGTTCAGGAAAATCACGCTCTGCTGCTTCAAATGCCATTCGCCATGGTGTAGAAGGGTTATCACCACCGTGAACCTCCTCTGGTTTATCACTACGACTAACTTCAAACCAAGGCTCGCCATTTTGGCCTTTTCCTATCGAAGCTTTATAGTATACTTCAGGAAAATGTTCACTAGCACCTGCTTCACCAGGGAGTAAAATTTTGGTACGCGGCTGTCGACCATTTCCACTATTGTTAAAAACACTTCGTTCAATAGTATAGCCAACTGGGTATGGTAACGTCCCCCGAGTATTCTGACGGAAGAAACGCGGGTCCGTTGCAAGTGTTCCAAACGAAACTACACGAAACATGATAATCACCGTTTATCTGTTAAATAGAGTGTTAAGCCCACTATATAACACCAGTTATTGTAGTGGTTGAAGGAAAGTCAAAGAAATGGGATAATGATATTCTCCCAGTTCAACAAGTCACGTGCCTTATTGATCTCTTTCTTAAGTTCTTCCCACAACGCTTTTCCAATAGGGAGGCAAAGAAGAAAAAGAGGAAAACAAAAAAAAATATGAAATACACATAAAAAACATGAGCAAAGCAAATATGTACAATGAGACAAAACCCAATATAATAAAAAAAAAAGAACAATAAAAGGGACACCAATACCAGTATCCCCATTTCCTCTCCTTCATTTTTTCGCAGTCAATATTCCATGACAACTGATAACAAAAAAAATAAATAATCACTGCACTCATGCAAGAAGCAATGCTGTGGGAATTAACGGTACGACTTCGTGAAGCGGGTGCGGGCAGAGTGACGGCCCCACTTCTTTGGCTCGCAGCGGCGAGGATCAGCGATCAGGAGGAACTTGTCGTATGCGAGGTACTTGTCCTTCACCGCAGCCTTCTCCACCTCATTCCTGTACTTCTGGAAGTACGCAACGAGACCCTTCGCAATAGCCTGACGCGTGGCATAAGCCTGGGCGACCTGACCACCACCACGAGCGGTCACATCAATGCGCAGACGTGCAAACTGACGTGCGCCAACAACGTTGACGGCTTCCATGATCTTTGCGCGGAGTGTCTCTGGGAGAATCTGCGAGACGGGAACGCCGTTCACGCGGATGTTGCACTGCGAGGCCTTCGTCACCGTAGCGACGGCAATAGCCGTCTTCTTCTTGCCGAAGGTCTGCACCTGCTTGAGGGGGTGGATCTTCTTTTCTGCGGGCATTGGAGTGCTATCGTAGTGAAGCGAGAAAAAAGAAAAAGTATTGGGGAAAAAAATAATATAAAATAGGAGACTATAATGAGAACATTCAGAGATTTTTTTTTTATTTTTTGAAGTTAAGCAAAGAAAAAAAAGCGAAAAAAAGCCATAGAATGCACATCCCATGGCATAAATCGCGAGAGGAAAAAAAAAAAAAGTAATAAAGAAAAATGAAAAGAAAGCCAACTCACAAAAAAAGGGGTAGCGCACTCTGTTAACTCCCACCAATACAAGCAGTGATTCCCTTCTCCCGCTGTTGCGGCAATCCAAAGTCGACCGATTAACGGTACGACTTCGTGAAGCGGGTGCGGGCAGAGTGACGGCCCCACTTCTTTGGCTCGCAGCGGCGAGGATCAGCGATCAGGAGGAACTTGTCGTATGCGAGGTACTTATCCTTCACCGCAGCCTTCTCCACCTCATTCCTGTACTTCTGGAAGTACGCAACGAGACCCTTCGCAATAGCCTGACGCGTGGCATAAGCCTGGGCGACCTGACCACCACCACGAGCGGTCACATCAATGCGCAGACGTGCAAACTGACGTGCGCCAACAACGTTGACGGCTTCCATGATCTTTGCGCGGAGTGTCTCTGGGAGAATCTGCGAGACGGGAACGCCGTTCACGCGGATGTTGCACTGCGAGGCCTTCGTCACCGTAGCGACAGCAATCGCCGTCTTCTTCTTGCCGAAGGTCTGCACCTGCTTGAGGGGGTGGATCTTCTTTTCCGCGGGCATTGGAGTGCTAACCTGTTCATATAAACAAGAATGTGAACAACATGGGTGTTTGTACGTGTGTACATTGTAGAAAAGTGGGGAGAAAGGAGAGGAAAAGAAAAAAAAAGAGAGGGAGAAAAAGTCATTCCTGGTAGAAACCATGAGGGAAATGGAGGAAAAATATAATGTATCCGTTTATGGAATGAAACTATTCACAGTTCTATTACTACTATTTTTTTTTCGATTTCTTTTGCGTTTTTGATATATTTTTCATACTTAAGAGAATAAATAAATATATATATATACTTTTTTTTTCTCTTTGTAATGTGACGATAAAAATACAAGTCTTATTCAAGATAGGTATATGTAAGTATTTTTCTTAACATCCCACCTACTCTATTCCCTCCTAAAGAGACTTGCAGAAACATTAGCTGCAGCATTCATCTCTGCCTTTTTCTGGGTACGTTGTGATTGTTCTTCTGCCTTAACGTTCTCATTCAAACGTGACTCTAACTCCTCCATATCTACTGCACCAGAAATAATCGTCATAGTCTGTAAGCGAAGTGAAAGATCACGCTTTCTTGCATGTTCTTCACTAACAGGATCATCAATAGGTGCTATAGTGTAAAGTACACGCATCATTTCATCATATGTCATAGGTCTCTGCATTTCTTGTGACGTAAATGGACTACCCACTGCCTCACCTGCTTCCACAGCACGTTTAACTTCCTGCCATGAACCTTCTTCACCAGGAGGTGTTGGTGGTTCACGCCAAGCACGTTCTTCCACTTGTGCTTCAAAGAAAGAACTACGTGTGGCTTCTGTCATGTTAACATCCGCACCGCGTAATACAGGATGACCCGCTTCCACTAGTTCTTGCGCCTCTGCACTTGCCTTTGGAAGTGGAACCGGACGACGGATGATTTTAGGACCCTTCGTCTTGGTTTTATCTCCTCCTCCTTCTTGCTTACGTTGTACTCTCTCTTCTGTCGATGTAAGAGAAGGAGGAGGAGGAGGAGGAGGAGGAGGAGAAGGATTTGTTGTTGTTGATGATGATGTATGGTTGCTAGTTGTGGTTTTTGCATCATCACTGCAATAATTGATGGGTGTTGCCTTTGCAAAGTTCACCGTTCCTTCGCCTGTCAACATAGATGTATTATCCTCCGCGTAACCCTCCAACTCATCCAATGCCTGTTCCAACTCCTTCACCGTACGCATAAGTTCCTCTTCATGATCGTGAAAGTTATGTACCATATATTGCCAAAACTTCAGTTGTTCACTTAATTGACGTACGCGCTTTTCTTGCATTCCCTGCCGTTTGTTGGCATCCGCCGTCACTCGACGCATAATAAAATTCGCATCATTCTCTGCTCGTTCTAATAATAAACGCCGGTCACATGCAGCCTCAAATTCTACCAACTCCTTTGCATAGTTGGCAATTTCTTGATCACTCAGACCTTTAGCCCGTCCTCGCCATCGTTGACCAATCGCATTGGGATTCCCCGAGTGTGAAAGGAATGAACCCACGCGATTCCACAAACGACGAAATAAACTTCCATGCCGCATGGATTGAATAGTTCCAGTGACAAATCGGGTATTGGCGGATAAATCATTAAATTTCCCTTGCAGCATGGCCCCACGAATAGCAGCTCCAATCGCTACGGCGTAATCAGCCGGACATGAATTCTCTGAAGCGACTGGACGACCAAAGTACTCTGTTAACATGTGACGAATAGGAGGATCTCGAGTCATGGCTCCAACAAGCAAAACATTATCAATATCCGTTACATGATATTTCGTATGTTCAAATAATTTATTTAGACATTCTATACAACGTATACGAAGAGGACGTGTAATTTCAACATACTCCTCAAGTGTTAATGTAGCTTCTAATGGAATAATATCACGTAATTTTTCAGAAAAATGAAAAGCACGATTATAACCATAATAAGGATCTGTTGAATGAGTAAAATGAATTTTTGCCTTTTCTGCTTCTAAAAGAAGTTGTCTATAGGTTGCTACACCTTGTCCTACATTTCCTTCCGCATCTTCTAAAGGTACACGCCATTTACGTTCAAATTGATCTGCAAAATGTTGAGAAAGTACCGAATCCCAATCATTACCACCCAAAAGTGGATCCCCATGTGTAGCCACAAGTGTAAAGGTACCACGACGTTGATCATGTTCCATAATAGCACAATCTAATGTACCTCCACCAAGATCAAATACTAATGAACGTATAATATGTTTTTGTATAGATATTTCTTTTTTTTCTTTTTTTGTAGATCGTCTCAGTACGGTGTGTGTTAAACAAGCAGCTGAAGGTTCATCTATCACTTCAAGAACATCAAATCCCGCAGCGAGTGCCGCATCTTCTGTTGCCACTTTCTGTTGTGGTGTAAAGAATGCAGGGACACTAACCACAACAGCATCTACCGGTTCTTTTAAAAACTTTTCAGCTTCATGTTTTAAATATCTAAGAAACATAGCAATAATGTGAACAACTGTATAAGTTCTTCCCATAATTTCTACTGCAATTTCACCTTTTTCATTTAATGTCAACATATTCGTTTTATGTAGTTGTGATTGTACACGACCAAGTTCCCCAACACCTCTACCAATAAGACGTTTACCACTACATAAAGTCGCACTAGCACTTGTACGTACACACGCACGAGCCTCTTCTCCATATAAACGAACCTTGTGATTTTTATCAAACGTGATAGCCGTTGGAAATACCCATGATCCTGTTGGAGAGGGAATAATCTTTGGTTTATTCGATCCATCTTCAATATATGAAATACAACTATTGGTTGTACCTAAATCAATACCAATAACACGACCATTACGTTCTCGTGTTTCTTCCTTAACAACGACGAAACGACTTCGAGTGGCTTCATCTAATTCCATTCGCCGCTTTGCCTCCATTTCCATAGCGTTCTGCATATTAACCGTCACTCCTGGCCGGGGAGGCGGCATAGGCATCGGCAGTTGTTGTAAGAGCAAACATGTGCGATACGTGAGTAATCGTGTTGAACACCGCATTGGAAGAAGAAATACCGATAATAATAATAATAATAATAATAATAATAATAATAACGCCTGTTAAGAGTCTTGGTAGACCCCTTTTTTTTTTTTTTTTCTTCAACCCTTCTTCCTCTTCGGGGTTTCTTGTTTTTTCTTTGTTTAACCCTTCAGTTTTTTTTTTTTTTTCCTGTATTGAGTTGGTTTGCTTACTTTTTTGTTTTGTTTTGTTTTTCACTGTCTCTTGTAAACATGAAGAATATTTAAAAAAAAAAAAAAAATATGGGAAAGTATTAGCTGAAGAAAACAAAAGTAACCGAAACAAATTAGAAACACACAGAAATAGAGATACAGTTCTAAACATCTTACATATAGACAAGAAAAAAGAAACAGCAATTCAGCAATAAAACTTTGTTATACAGACTATATATATATATATATATATATATATATATGTACAAAGAGAGAACAGCACAAACTGTGTGTGAAAATATATATGAGAGAGAGAAAGAGAGAGAAAAGGCAAAAAGATTCTCTCACTTCACTTCTCAATCATTCTTTACATGAGTTACCCGCGAAGGTTCATCCTCGGCGTTATTTAACTTCACAGGCGGGAGTGGAGGAAGAAGACGTGAAACTAATGGACCCACCTTGTACGTCACTGCCGCGGCAATAAATAAACTCGCTAGGGGAAACACAAAGTCCGAGTCCCATAGAAATTGGTAATCCATTATTAACTAAACAGGAGTCAATCTATACTTTACAAACAAACATACAAAAAGAAAGAAAAGAAGAGATAAGCAAGGAAAATAATAATAATAATAATAATAATAATAATAATAATAATAATAAAGAAGAAGACAAAAACAATATAACCCTATAAAGTATATATTGAGGTGATATCGTCTCATCTCATCATTTCCCATGCAACACCCAATCATTATTCATTTCAAGGAATTTACAGTTTCTCATCAAAACAGCAATAACAACAACAACATTCCAATGTTAACCGGAAACACTTTAAACACAGCAAAGAATAGAAAAAGAAGAAAAAAAAGAATAAGAATAAGGGATACTTATTTTTTCTTTCTTCTTCTTTTCTTTTCTTTCCTTTTCTTTTCTTTTTAGTCTGAATCGCTGTGTGTCAGACGGTACAATTGACGTTGTAAACGTTCCTTCTCCGACACCGGCACTTGTTTACATTCAATCACTTGAGGAAGCCAACACTTCTCAAGACTAGATTGAAGTCTAAGTAATCTTCCTTTTCGCATTTCCTCCAGCATAAACGCCACTAGATTAATAGCATAACGTGTAAAACATAAATCCAACAAAACACGAAGAATATGAGTTAATGCACTATAAAAACAACACTTCTTTAATCCACAACATATATTGTCATCTTGTTTATTATTATTCTCTTTACAATTTTCTAAAAGAATCTTGTACCGTTCTTTCCAATTCTGATGACGGTCTAATACTCCACTTTCCTCATTGTGAATACGCCAGCCATAAAAGCGAATAAATACAACATAACTGTAATGTACACGATCCATCATTCCAGGTTCTCGAAGTTGAGTGTAATCCTTCCACATTAATGGTGTTAGTAACTCTTGTAAACTGCAGATGGGTGTAGAGACATCATCATCATCATCATTATCTCCTTTCACATTCACTTTCTCCTCTTTTTTACGGTTAAGATTCATTTCTTCTTTTACAATGGATAAAAACTCAATCCGTACAGTTGGCATGAGAAGCCATAAGAGTAATTCCCAATTCACACGTAAGAGTTCCAGTCCATCTGAACTAGACAACTGTGCGGATCGTTCTTCTTCTGTGAACTGCACACCTCCCTGAGAAGGGGGTAATAACGCCTGATGTAATCCAATCACATGAAAACAACAAAAAGAAGAAGAAGAAATGTTTTCTTTTTCTAATGGGGAATTCTCTTGTATTGGTAGTTGTACCTTCACTGAACGATATCCACGGTAGAAAGATACGGAAGGATGTTCTCTCTGTTGTTGTTGTTGTTGTTGTTTTTCTTTTTCTTCTTCTTCACAATCTCCAGCAGCTGCGGCCGCTGCATTTGCCTTTTCACGTAATGTTGTGAGTAAAGTTTCAATATCTTCCGTCTCTGTTAACAGCGGCTGTGATGTAACTTCACTACAGTACATTTCTTTTTTTTTCTACTTTTGATACTATTGGATTGTGCACTCACACACACACACACACACAGACACACAGACCAATATCACTAATATTTACTAATGAATTATATGATTATTTAAATAAAATAAAATAATAAGAGAAAGAGAACGAAAAAAAAAAGAATCACTCATACCATCCATCATACATTTTTTTTGTCACTTTTTCACTCAGAGAAAGAATGGTTGATAAGGGGGGGATGGGGCGGAACAATAATAATAATAATAATAATAATAATAATAATATGAAGGTACTGCAAAAGTGAAGAGAGACATAAATGCGTCTTTAGTTTTCGGATTCACCAAAACTGATATTTTTTGTTTTCTTTTCATTCTCTTTACTTCTTTTTTCTCTCCTGCTGCAATTAAACACACACAAACACACTAAAGGTCCATAAACGTCCATCACACCGCCAACACTAACTGCAATACAGAATTATATATATATATATATATATATATATATATATATATATACAAACCGTTAAGAAAGAAGCTAAGAAAAATAGAAATAAATAAATATAGAAAGAAACAAGTTCTCATCTATTCATCTGATCGAGGAGCAAAAGGATGAAATGATGGTAAAGCGACTACAGGACGTGCCACTGGTGGTCCACGGTATCGTCCACGGTATAATTCCGTATCTCCATAAGGAGCTGGTAGAACCCCATTTACGGGTTTATCCCCAACACTAATACCAACATCACCTACTTTCCATTCAAATCCAAAATGGAATACATCTTTTAATTTCTTCCCCTTTTCTAATTCTTGTACATCATATAATGTACCTATAAGCTTCTTATTCACAAAAAGAAGTGGTAAATCTGATGTATTGCTTACCGTAATTAACTGTTGACGAAGTGAGTCGGCGTGAATGTGATGATCCAAATGTACAACTTTCATACGTGTGCAGTACCAAGATGCGTAGTGCCGCATATGTCCAGTCTCAATAGGCCGAGAAGTGACTGTAAACATCACAGCCCAGTAACGGTCAAGATAATCTTTTAATTCACAAGATAAGAAAGGACGCCATTGTCGGGATGATGAGAGTGGTTTGCTGTTACTCCACACTCGTTGGGGCATTAGAGTAATAAATTAAATCCACACAATCTAATACTCTTTTTCTTTTCTTTTTTTTCTTTTCTTTTTTTATTTCTTTCTCTCTATATATGAGAGAAAGAGCAAGAAAAAAAGAAAAGAAAAAGAGTAGTTTATGCCTTTCTTTTTATTCCAGATAAAAAAAAAAGAAAAGAAAAAATAAAATAAAAACTGCATATTGACCATTGTGTATACAGCATACTGTATACACAACAAGAAAAAAAGAAAAGAAATATCAATACTAATAACACAAGAACTCTGTTCCTCAATACAAAAAAAACCATCAGAATATGCATGTATAAAACGCAATAATAATAACAAACAAAGAAAAAAAAAATACCTACCAGTCAATGAGTACGGCAAGTAATTTTTTTTCTGTCATGTGAATAGAACCAAAAACAAAGAAAAAGAAAGAAAGAATGAATGAATGAAAAAAAAAGAAAAATAGAGTGAATGTTTTTTATTCTCTGTTTTTTTTTTTTTTTTCTTCTTCTTTTACTCCTCTTTCATCTCTTCACTCATTCAAATCCACTAAGGGATTCTCTTCTCTTCTCTTTTTTCTTCATTCTCCTTTCTTATTCCTTCCTCCTCCCCCTTTTTTTTCTTTTTTTTATTCTTCTTTCTTTCTTTCTTTCTTCTGTGGATTATTATCAACGCAATCCGCCTCCATTGCACTGTTTCCTTGACTTGGGCAACAGTGTTCGGCTGAAGTTCCGCATGGTGTGCAGATCCCTCTTATCTAAACCCATTTCTAATGCCAATTGTCGAGTGCGCAGCGGCAGGAATTCATTCTCCGGGGAAACTTCTCGCATCATCGCCGCACACGTCAGACGGTGTCCCTCCCACTGACGCCACTCCACGGCTCTTCCACAATCCATGCAAAGTACAATTTGATGTTTTTCCTGATGTGGACCCAATCGTTCCAGTGGAATTCGGGTATTACACTCTCCACACCAGCGAACCTCTCGAATACATCGATCCCAATGTTCATAAAAGGATGGGGTTGGGATATAGGATTTACAATTACGACACCATTGTTCAGGTGCGGAGGAAAGTGGTCGGTTGGTGATGCGTTGATAATAAATACGTGTGGGTTCATGAACCATACCATCTAAACGCGTAAAGTCTTGTGTTCGGCGAATGGTAAAGTCATCAAAGGAACGCATACGTGCAAGTATATTTCCCAAGTCATTTGTATCTGCAAGACAATGACAATCTATTTTAACATTATATGTATGTCCATATGCCATAATATTTAATGGAGAAATACAATGTCGTGGATATAAAGGGAATTGTTGAATCTCATAACGTACTTCAGGATAAAATGGATGATAAACACTAACACGTATACGTGGTATATCCACCGTACGATGTATAGAAGGGAAATGTACAACGAGTATATGTTCTTTTACTTGTAATACTTCACCAATAGTTCCTGCAGGAACTCCAAAGGTATCAGGAGCATCTAATAAAAGGTGAACAGAAGCTCCAACCTCAAGATTTAATGAATCCACAAGAGAAAAAGATTGTGGTAAACTACTTTGTAGAAGCATCGTTAGAATATAATTTCCTATTTCTGTACGTTTTAATGTACGAAAACGAGGTGGTAATACTCGAATAGCAGGTTGTTTAGGAAAACGTGAAGTAAACTTCATTACAGCCTCTACATTAGAGATAAGTGGTTGAGGAGGTACCAACTCATTACTCTTATCACCACTACTACCTCTAGTTTCACGTCTTTTATTTTCTCCTCGATTCATACTAAACTCATTTTTTTCATCACTACTATTATCATCATCATCATACTCATCATCCTCATCATTATCGTTATTATTATTATTATTATTATTATTATTATTATTTTCTTCTAACTCTTTGGTGTCACTTTGCATGGCTGCCTTTCCACTTGCAGATCGTGCTTCTAGTTCTTCAATATCCTTTGATGTAAGTGTACCGGAATATGCTTTATTTACTAATGTTGTGAGTCGACGTGTTTGTCCATGAATCTTTTCTAATAATCGTTGATGTGGAAAGAGTTCATCCCAATTGTCTAATTGATAAATATATCCACCCGTATCACTACCAGGGTGTACGGGTAATTGCCAGAAGTCTGCAGCTGCAAATACACGAAGTCCACCAAAAGCCTCTTTCGGTCGACCACGTAATTGTCTACATACCGTATCCATAGATAAGATAATGGTAGGGGCAATAAGGTGAACAGCATCAAGAATTAACACATCTGCCGTCTTTAGACTGGGAACACAACCAGCATAGGTGGATTCACACAAACGTGCGTGTCGCTCTAATGTTCCATCCAGTTGATCTCGCGATGGAAGTTCTTCACGGCCCATATATCGTAATCCAATAAAGTGATAAAGTAAAAAACCATCTAAACGACGAGCTCGTTGGGCATCTGCTGAAACGTAAACTACTCTTTTCTTTTCTTCACAAGCCTCACCAATGGCTTTGAGAATTGTTAACTTACCGGTATTATAGGCACCACAAAAAATAACATTTTTTTTTAATGCTAAAGCCTCAGAAACATATCGTTGTGTACTCGCCGCTCCCTTGTGTCTTAACATGTGAATATCACCATTAAACCCACGGGTGTCTACTTCACGAACAAGATGTCCATAACGGCGTGTAGAGGAAAACAGAGATGATGATGATTGTGATAATGATGGGAATGCTGGAGAAATAAGAATCTTATTCACATGAGATTCATTAGAGGAAGTTATCGTAGTAGTAGTAGTAGTAGTAGTCACAGTCCCTACAAGAGTTTTATCTATGGAGTGAAATAATCCGTTTCCACAAACATTGGTAGCAATGAACGGGCGACGAAGCATCTGGTCCGTAATGACTCCTTCACATCATTTATACACAAATATATATATATATATATATATATATATATATATATA